TTCACATCCAAAGTGATTTAAATAATAACCAAGTCAATAGTCAAAAATGTCAAGTTTATATTATAATTATTGTTTGAGATTAACGTAACTGTTTGCAGTTTAATATTGCTTAGAACTGAATTTTACGATGACAGCTGACGATCTCTTGTCTGACAGATGTCATCTTGCGTCTCGCGTCGCACGTCTCGTCTGTGAATATAACCTCTTTGATAACATTTTAGGCAAGTGTTTTTCGTAAAACCTTGCATTTTCTAATTGTCTATCATCAAAGCCTTAATAACTGTAAACGTCAAATAACTCGACATAAAGCTCATTGTCAAATAGTGTGCGCGTGCGCAGGTTGCCACTGAAGTGGTTATTTCGCTACCCTGTCGACGTGGCTAGAATTCGCATACATTGCTGGTTATGGTACGGGCGTCATTATTACTATATACAGTATGTAAAATTAATAACTGCAAATATTTAAGGTTGAACCAGTCCGTGAAACTGAACAACTTGTCCATAGGTCGAAATAGCGAAATAGTAGAAAAATAGAGCTCCCATACAGAATGTGTTGGCTGTTTGGGAGGCCCAAAACTTTTTATAAGTTTCAACAATGGTTTTTACAGAAAGTTGTTCAGTTTCATAAACTGATTCACCTTGTGAAATATTTGCAATAATTTTTATACTTAAGATAACCAGTAATGTAAGCGGGTTGTCAGGGCAGTGTAAGTAAAAAGCCACTGAGAGCTTTCGTCCGGCAGAGCTTCCGCTGCCCGATTAGGAAGTAAACGCCTTTTACGTGAGACGAATATGTTAGGGCTGTGCAAAGGCTAAAGTGGCAAATTCCTATAGATGTTCGATTGCGGCGGATTGGAAGGTACTCTGGAGTCTGGAGTAACTATGATGCACTGAAAAATCTCTACCAGATGCACCAACTTACGCGGTTAGACTTAGATAATCCAAAGTCCTGGTATGAAGGCACTCGGGTAGAAGGGCCATTAAATATACTTAGTCGATCCAAAATTGCGGTCTATGCAGGCTGGCACTCGTGGTACGCATGTGTATAAAACATCTTATAATTTGTTGATGATGATGAACAAACGGAATCCATTACCTACCATTTCCTACCATTTTCACACAGACAGACAACCCTAAAAGCTCCATGGCGCACTTGACACACATTATCGATTCCATAGCAGTAATACGCCATTACTTTTCGTCTACAACGCGCCCTTCCCACATACTAATAGGTATGATGGTATAATAACAATGCCTATGGCCATTGCCACCATATGTAGCCATAGAATGTGCCAAACGGATGTACGTAATAGGAAGTCGTAATATGATTCGCATTGATAAATAATTTAAAGTGTAAGCTTGGGAATTACCGCGAATGTTTTATTTATTTGAAGTTATGGTAAAAACTTTACATTATTACATCAGCCCATAGCAGTCCACTAGGCCACAGCTGGACGTAGGTAGGCCTCCCTCAGGGATACACCACATGACACGATCTCCCGTTTCCCCCATCCAGTCACTACCAGCCGCTTTTTTGATCCATCTGGCTGTAGGGCGCCCAACGCTATGCTTGGGAAAAACATGAATTTTTTGAAATAAATATTCAAGTTCATCATTTTTTAACACTTTAAATTATAAAACAAGCAATTTACTAGGTAGGTAGAGGATCAACAATAATTAAATAGACACTAATTTATGGGAAAAGATCGCGTGTTAAGCATTTTATTACCTTTTAATCGTTCATCCATCTTTTAGAATAGGTTCATCGTGTACTTATTTAATGAATAAAAGTTCACGATGAATTGAGAACCTCCCTTTGTTTTATTTTCACCGTTTGAAAATAGTGTGGATTTCCTTATCTAATTTAAGCCTAAAAAACTGAAAATAGTACCAAGTAAGGTACCAAGTGTGTTAGTTTTAATTAGGTATTATTTTTTATTTATTTTGTGCATGCTGCAATTTTAGTACCTATTTTGTCATTAACGGGCAATTCAAAGTGTCCTTACATTCTCCGTTGATAATTGTAATCGATCTAGTCGCCATTATGATTATTGTCATTTATCTTTGTCACAATATTTCTCGTCGTAGAAACTTCGTTTTTTCAAATAAATGTCGGAATTAAGACTAAAATTTATAAAAGAGCCCGAAATAACCTGCCACAATAGTAAATTTCAACAAAATCCGTATTTTTTTCGACCGCTCGATTGTTTGCGGTCACGGCGCAAGGTTCGCAGGCCTCATGTAGGAAGGACAATGAATAAATATTTTTTTTGTTCTTTTCTTCTTGTTCTATGTTTTATTCTTATGTTAAATTGCCAATAAAATCATCAAACAATTTTTTAATTTATGAATATGATGTTTTTCAAAAAAATACTAAAAAAACCTTAAACAAACATTTCTCAGTAAAAGTGTATATAAACACGCAACCGGCATGTTTATATTATCTTACAACAAGCTAGCTTATTTATTCACGAGTTCAACACTCAAGTTACAATGTTTATCTTTCGATAACAGCCGAGAACTTTTTGTTTATGTTATCGGATATCTTAAGTATCTCAAGTGGCCGCCATTAATCGCAGAACAGCTTATGTCAAGTGCACCGCCATCTTTTTTTGTACGCAGTGGAAGGGATATAGAGCTACAATATCCTTGAGTAACACAAGCTACTTTTTACACCTGGAGAATTTGTTGCTCAGACACGTACCTATTTGCAAGTATTTAGCTCAAACACTGGAAATCTCTTTCAGCAGCTGACTCTTAACTATTTTTCTTCCATTGTATCACGATTTTCAGCTGATTAAATACGGAGAAAACATATTTGCGAACTAAAACCATTAAATTCATGTCACGTTTCCGCAACTTCTCTGCGGGAAATTCGCATAAAAATACTTATTACGGAACCCATATTCTGCGTAGCATTTATCAAATGTCTTGTTATCACGAAATCTAAGTCAATTATTTTCTTCTAGATTGATGAAAAATCTTTAGTGAATAACTTTAATACAGGATCTTAGGTAGGGCTAGGGTGGTATCTGTGGGTGGTACACATAACATCATATCACATCAGTCCAAATAGGCTGTTCCGTAGTTTAAGTATGCGTATCTAGCACAATACAACTAGCACCAACTGTCCAAATTCTTATTGTTTAATATTTGAAGAAAGTGAATTTCTCTATAAATTCTAATGCCGCGTGCAGCGAAACGCGTGCGCGCCGGCATCTTGTGACCTGTCAAATGGTCATAAAATCAATCGCCCTCAACTCAAGTCTTCCAACCGACCGGAAGCAAAATCGCTAACTAAGAAAATCGCTAACTAAGAAAATCGCGAGTGCCACACCAAAAAGGAGCCCCAGCACAGGTGTTTGGACTATCCCAGCAGTTGAGCTGCGACCAGCAAACGTTGGGAGTTACCCCAGAGTATGCCACACGGCACGATCTTCCGTTTTCACCATCCAGTCGCTACGAGCCGCTCTCTTTAAGACATCGGTCCATCTGGATGGAGGACATCCAAAGCTAGGACATCCAAAGCTACGCTTGCAGAGCCGTGGCCTACACTCGAAAACCCGCTTACTCCAATCGTTCATTCGTTTTACGATTGATGTGACCAGTCCACTGCCACTTCAGCGTACTACACTTCCAGACTATCACTAACTGTAACTCTTAAATTGGCACGTTTTTGGCAGATCACTTAATTCGAAGTGGTCATCTTCATCATCATCAATGTAAGAGTATCACTATGTGCCTGGTCTTTTTCCTTCCTTTCTTCGACTTCTCTGTACGTATTGCTCCTGACTTTTCTCCTTGATCGTCCACATAGGTTCGCCCAGGACGCCCTCATTGTTATAAGTTGTCATCATCGTCACATCTGCCTATAACAATCCAGTGCTGGGCTAAGGCTTCTCCTGGGTACACCTCAAGGCAATATCTTCCTTGTTCGCTATCAACTCACCACCATTCGCCCACTTTATTAATAACTTCGATTGTATCTACATTAAACTCTGTATAAAGCAACAATGTCTGATGCGCCTCTCCCAATATGGTAGATATGCGCGACTGTTCCGAGCACGTTTTCTATCTCAGCAGCTCGCGCATGATTCTGACAGACATTGATGTGCGCCGGCGCAAGTAAGCAGATGCGCAGCAATGTGATTGGTTGGCGACGATTCAATTTACGATACTTTGGGGAAATGTCTTGCTCCTCAGGTATAAATGTTTTGAAAAATTGGTAAGATTTGAACGTGTGAAGTGATTTACTTGTGTACTAGGTGCTTTCTTAATTAAATATGTTGTGAGTTGCCGGCTTAGAATAGCACCATAAGTAAACTCCATTTCAATAGGTACGTGAATGCCGTATTAGGCAATTAAGGGATGTTTCCAGGGAATAGGCAGCAGCGTGCCCTGTCAATTTCAACATCTTACACTGTTTAAGTCCCGGTATTTGTGGGACTGGGCACCATCAATTTCAATCCCAAGGATTCCGGGATTGGCGGGATAAACGGCTTACAGGCTAGAACAGATGATGAGATGACCTACATGGCATCAGAATATCAAAACAATGAAATCATCATCATTGGCCTCATACGTCTGTGTCAGACGATTTATGAGACAAGATTTTTCATGATTTTTCATGAGGCAAGATTTTTCATGTATGCTTTTTGCACGCTCTCCACAGACACAGCGTTGCCTGGGACAAAATTATGGAAAACGCAAGGCTGACCAGGACCAATACGATGTAATAATAATTCAATAATTAATTGACGCAGCCCAGACGCAGCTGACGAGCGGCGGGCGTTTGTGATCTGTCGACCTCCGGAAGACGCTGTCATAAACAGCCGAAACGTAGAGGCCGGACCCTCTACCAAGTAAATCACAAGTACTAAACCTACATTTATCTTCTTCTTCTTCTTGGAGTGGGACACCAAGTCGGCCAACGAACCGATGAACCCTGATGTCAGAGTTTTTCAACCGCCTACTGCAAGTAGCAGGCCTCTGACATGGTTTTGTAACCGGAAATTGAACCTGGAACCTTCTGCGTGGCAGGCAGTCGTACTAACAACTGCACCACATCGGCTGTCTAACCTACATAGTAAAGTAAGCAATTGCCATTCTAATTCAGTCACTTCAAACGAGTCATTCATTATCCGTATTACAAAAGACAATGATTAGATCTGTTAGCATGATAATCACATCATCTGTGTTATAATAAGCCGTTAATTTCACACTTGATTTGAGCCGTCGTTGGTGTAATTTGTCTATCTCGAGATCTTCATGGTCCATAGTAGAGCATCTTGGATGAGTGGCTGAGTCAAAAATAAAGTATTGACGGGCGCCCGATACAGTGAGACGGACTTAAGGAAACGTCACTACACTCACACAGACATCTAGGTACAAGTAAACCAAACCGTCTCAAACCGGCTAGTAGCGTGTGTCGACAGCGTTCGGCGCGGGCGGACAGCTGCTGCCTAAACGACGACTCGCAAGTGCAAAAATATTTGTAGTGTGTGAACAAGATTCAAAAAGTAAAGTAGCAACCCTAAGGTGTAGGTACGTAGGTAGGTATAAATGATTAGGAAATGGGGCGATCTGTCCTTCTGTAAATTCTCTGTTTTGTGGAGTGCAGTTCACGGTATATTACGAGATTTAATTAAATGTTTTGCTGACTGGAGATTGTTGTTCGAGTGGTAAAAGTTTAGTCACAAATCCACTCCTGAACATGGGCACTCCCCTATAGAAAAGATTTTGTCAAACTTATGAATGCAGTCACCTCACTTATAATGATAATGGACCGATGCAAAGGAGTGTAGGTACATTCTTTTTGAGGAAAGTTAGTAAACAAGCTACTAACTTAAACAAAAATGTAAGAATGCCTCGAGCTCTAAAAACTGCAACAAACTAGTCTAGACCCACTTTTTGCCTGTTGCTAAGACAATCATAATGATAATTTACTAAAAAAACAACAACTGAATAAGTAGGTGGATAATTTATACACACTTACGTTCTTCAAGTCTTGACCTAATGTAGGGTTTGCAAAAGACAGACATACTTATGCAGGACAGGACGATCTTCTTATTACAAGCAAGCAGCATATTGCATTTGATTGCTGGCTAGCATTCTAGTAGATATTATAAGGTCCTATTCAATTCCCTGCAAATATTTTCAGGGTGTGTTCTACTCGTGAAACTGAACAACTTTTCCCAAGGAATATACCTAGGTCGAAATATGAATTCATTACCAGCAATCACGACCAGTCAATAACCGAGTCAATTTGTATAGGAGGTCCAAATTTTGTTTTCTCTTTTACCTTTGTTCATCAGGGAAAGTTGTACAGTTTCACAAGAAGACCAGACCCTAAAAATATTAGCACTTTTGAAATGACCTTATACAAAATATATTAGTGAAATCAGGCACTTCTACAGCTATGGTAAATTCTGAACTCCGTGAACGAATTTTATAAATAATATTTTAATGAAAAATTTACAAAAAATGAGTTACTTTGTGTGGGAGGCCGAACGAATATAGGTTAAATAGTTCAACCTTTGCTAGTTTTTACAGTTCTTTGAATGGCCAGCAATGGACACAGAAGACATAAACCTTCGGTAAATTCCCGTCCATCTCCACCATGATACCACAGTATAGAGATGTAACAGTAAGGAAACTCATTCCCAAAAATTTAGGCAGATATCGAATTTTTTCCAAAAAACGAGGATTGCTCTCAGGGTAGGTACCTACGTACGACACGTTTCTGTTGAATCGCAAGGATTGTCACTTTCGGTTATAATAATATTAAATAGAATAAAAATTATTATATAAAAAAAAATTGTACTAGTTTTAGCTGCATTATCCCTGTGAGTAACAAAGGCTAAGTACTTATTACTATGGGAAAACACCTTATTCCCTTCCCACGACCATTCGCGGAACATTTCGCTCGGGTGAGACTGGATCAGTTTCCTTGGAAGCGGCGCCGGCAGCGTCGCGCGGCTGTGTCGAGCTTTTCTATGAAGTTTCCACACTGCTGAGCATAAGCGAAGCAGTTTTTTCGCTGTGACCATATGTAGGAGGTACCTACTAAAGGAACCGGTAGCGGCGGAACTGACTAATGACGCCGGATGCGCACGCGCAGCCCTTTTTGTGGTCACCGCAACACCGGGACGCTTTGTGGCTGTATTATTTTATTACAAGCCTATTTATTTGTAATATTGATTTCGGTGGACATGCTCGTAAATCTAAAAGTCCATTATAATTTCACCCACAGACCAGTGACGTCATCATGTCCGGGGCCCCTTCACAGACGATTGATTTCTCTTCTCTATGATTTCACCATTTCATTAATGTTCTAAGGATTTTCCCGTTACTGGGCAAAAGTCTCTTCCTTTCTACTTAAGTTCAACCCTGCGGCGACGACGACGACGCCCATTTGCCTAAATATGAAGGTCTGCATGAAGCTAGGGAGGATAAGGGCGTGCTACCTACTGTTAGCGAAATGCTATCCTGCCTGAGGCATATAGAAAATGCATTTGGCAAGCTTCCTGTAAACATTCAAACTTTGACTTTCCTAATTATGTTTAAATAAATGAGATATGTTTGCCTTCGTACTTCGCCGTCACAATTAATCAACGGCTGTCAGATTTAGAGATAACAGTGCGAGTGCACTAAATGCAAGTCAACGCACTCAGCACCGGCAGTACCTACTTAAAGTCCTACACCCACTGCATTTTGTGAATTTATTACTTATATCGGCAATTAGGCGTTCGAGGAATCTGCGAGCGTTTTGTATAGCCAAGGAATTAGGATTTTTCGGATATGCTATTTGTAATCAAACCAACTTTACTTTTTACCAAAGGTGTCCTTAAAAACCAAGCGCGGCAGCGTCGTTGTCAATTGACTGGTTCGTATAGGCTTGTTCGAGATAGGTACCAGAAAGACCACGCGGCGCGCCTTCCATACTATGAACGATATTGTCACGCTGACAGCGCACTACGATGCCGCTACGCTTAGTCTTTATTTTGACCTTAATACTCCACTGCTGGACTTAAACCAGGGTTCGTCTCAAGGCACGATCTCCCGTTAATCATTTGTATCTACCTAGCTAGCTGTACAGATGGTAAAATTAAAAAATCTTTGCTGACAAATTGATTTTTCCGCTAATCCTACTGCATGCATCTCATTTTCTTCTTCACTTAACGCACTTACAACAAATCGTCTCCTTATTGTAATCAGCTTGATACTACATTAAAAAGCTGAATAATATCAGTTGATTTTTCATGGTTCTTGCTTTTATGTCTATGAAATATACACGCGTTTTTAAATTATGGCAAAATTATGCTGAACCTGACTATACTGATTATTATAAGTTAAAGATATTGTTAAGAAAAAGTATTGACAGATTTAGCAGCTAAGGCGAGGAACACACGCAACGTCGGTTTGTGCGTCGTTTGTTCGATTTTCCACCTTATTTTTATACGAATACGGTTTATGTCAAAAGATTTGACAGACAACGCAGCGTTGTGCGATGCCATTTGACACAAACCGTATTCATATGCAGGTAGGGTAGAGAATCGAATGAACGACGCACAAACCGACGTTGCGTGTGTTCCTCACCTATCAATATTGTGAATAGTCCTAGCGGCAGTTCAAAACATGCTGCATCTGAGAGAAGAGTTCTGAAATTTGGTACACCTAATCTTTAGGGTAAATGAATCAATTTGACCCGTAGTACACAATTTTAAAAAAATCCTATGAGGAGTAATGACGTCATCTTTTTTTGTATTGGAAAAAAATTTTTTTGTTCCAAAACCTATCGTGTGTGGTATCAAATGAAAGGCCTCGCTAAGCCGATTCTAAAAATATATCACATTATTATATTTAAGTCACTTGTATAAAATTAAATAGGAAATAATTCTCGAAACATGCCACGTTTGGGCTTCTCCAGGTATGATACGGTTGAATCATTACTTATGAAATATACGTAATATAATGTGTAATATCCTCATCTCTAACCTCAAGAAAGGTACTACGGATTTTTTGTCTTAAAGTAATTTTTATTGAATTTTAAAGTTACAGAAATTTATGAAAACACACTTAGTTGAAATTTGGCATCGAAAGTTCAATTTTGGACACCGAGAATGATAAAAATATAGCCAGTTGAGATTACAATCATATTATTATGTACATCACATCATATTCGTTTTGCAAAAAGAATGTTATGTGCTTCGGAGGGCACGGTTAACCCTGGGCCCCATAGCAGTCGCTCTCTATGAATAATAAGACGGCGGCGGTCCGTCAGGGTCGTCAGTTAGGGGCTGAATAGTAACCATGGTTCATCGGGTCGTTCGTAGACTCGGTGTCCCACTTTTCAGAACAAGATTTATTAATAATAGGATGATAAATACAAATGCGAGAGAAGTTTTCGATTGATGGTTAAAGTGATCATTTCTCTATACACACATTATATACACACCGGCAAAATTAACGGAATCTATACATAATAATAAAGTTGTAGAGGGTCAAAAGCCTGTACATAAAAGATATTGGAAAATAAATTGTCAGCGAATTCTTGAAATTGATAACAAAACAGGTTTCAAAAGTTTTTACATATTTTTTCCGTTTAGATGTTTGTATGTGACAGCATCCTGAAAAACTACTGAACGGATTTTGATGAAATTTGGTACAAAGATTGCTATCGCATTGAAGAAGATAAAGGCTACTTTTTTTCTCCACTTGAGGGACTCGAGTACCTGATGTGTACCACTATAGAAGCACAACCACGAGCCCAGCTAAACAATGGGAAATATATTTATGGCACCAAAGCAAGAATTGTTTAGCATCATGGAATGCTCCTGCTGGCAAACATAGATCGAAGGTTTAGAGAACCTTATGTGGACCACCAGGTGCACCTCCAAGAGCCCAGCTAAACTACAGGAGACACATATTATATAGTCCCAAAGCAAAAATTGTTTAGCGCGATGGGACGTGTCTGCTAGAAAATATAAATCGAAGGTTTGGAGAACTACAGGAGATACATATACGTCCCCGAAGAAAAAATAATTCAGCTTGATTGGGCCCTCCT